ATCTTATGAAGTTTCCATGTACGGTTGCGTAAATGAAAACGTAGGAAGTAAGTTCTCTCTCATTCAAAATTTCTTAATTTTATTTATAAACATTTTGAATTCTAACACAATAATAATATAAGTATGTACTGAGTAAATTGTAAGTTACAATATAAGATTATTTTAATTAAAAATAGTAAACCAAGTTACCGAGATAAAGTTTAAAAGTCCTATTAAATCTTTTTTAAATTTGTTTATTTTAAAAATTCAATATTTTAAAATTGTCAAATTGCATGGAAATACTTTTATTTCATATCACAATTAGTCATCTTGCCATAAACAAAACTTTTATGTAAGATATGCATTGAGTCCATCTCATAGTAGACATATTATCCATTTATCTAAAAATAAAGTATATAATCATGACACGTATAATTATTCCTTAAAAATATAGTTTTAAGTCTTTTAGTCACCTAATTATAAATTATAAATTTCTTTGGGTAATCTCGAAATAGTCTCTTCGAATAATGTATTTTCCAAATCAGTGTTTTTAAGCATTAATTATCTATGGAGTACTTTATAGTTGAGATTTATTCACTCAGTGTCTTCCGTATATGTTTCTTAAATGAATGTTCAATGTAGGAAATTTAGGTATTTTCAACATTTAAATGAAGAGTAATTTTTCAAAATGACCTTTTTGGATTAGCCTTTTGCTAATTTAGGTCTCCGTTATAATAATTATAATTTTATCTCAATTGTACATTTAGGGGCATCTTAATGTGTTGTGTCCTTCTATTAGCCACTCATGTTTAAGCTAGTAAATTTCAAATTTCAAATGAAAAATATGTGATTCCCTTTTTTTTGCAAATATTGTTTTGTTGTATATATCCCATGCAAATATTTTTTGTGTTTTTTTAAAAAGTGCTTGTTGTGACTTCAATGAAGTCAAAAGTGAAATACCTATGATTATTTTTAAATGTTTTTGTAATTTTTCTTTGTGAAAACCCTTGTAACTATATTTGTTTTGCTCTTTGAAACTAAATTCATATAAAGTGAAAAAAAATTGGTATGTAAAATATATCTGATCATTTTTATGTGATAATTTTTTAAAATTTTATGTGAAAAATGTAACTATTATTTTAGAAGTTGATTTTAAAAATTTATACTATTATTTTAATTATTTTAGAAGTTGATTTTTTAATTTTTTTAAAAAGAATTTTAGTTCTCACTCAATTGCATAAAACTTCATGTATTGTTCTAATTTCTTTAACAATACTCCCTTTGTGTTTGGATTTGATCTTCTCAATTGA